ATATATCTTATTAACCAAGCGCGAGGGCCGTACTGGGAGAATATCGGCCCGAGGTCTTGACAGTACGGACCGAGCGCAGCGAGGTCCGTACAAAAAAGACCGAGGGCCGATATTCTTCCAGTACGGTCCCGAGCAAGCTTGGTTAATAAGAGATTTATTATACGACTGAAGTTCAAAGGGACACAAGTGCGGTATCATTCGGGACCATTCGGGACAGTGCCCGGTCCAATACTTAGAGAATATTGGACCGGCAATAGAGCATTTTGATTGGTTGATTTTAGTTATTGGCCCTCTGACTGCCCGTGTCGTGTAATAAAAGTACTTCTATTAACTACCTGAAATGTCTCATGATAGTGCAGTCATTACTAAAGAATGAAGATTAAACGGGAGAGTTACGACACCAACTTACAATTAATCCAGCAGATGCATATCCTGTTATTTCCAAGAAAATCCCCGCAGGGACTTTGATTGGCCCAACGGGAATATAAATTGAACGACCGAGCTGTTTTTCTCTCAAGACATTTAGGCCTTTGTTATACCTATAGCCAACATAAAATAAGGTGATTGATTTATCCTATTGGCTAGGTCGTTTTTTTTGTTCGTAAGCCAACCTGTAGATTAATGTTTGACTCAAAATCTGTATCATCTGTTTAATTTGACTCGTACAATCTCTTATGACTAAGAGGACAATAATAATCTTCGAATAAAAGAAACTAAGCGAAACGAAGCGAAAAGAAACGAAATAATACTTACGATATTTGTAAACCTAAGAGAAAACGTGATCGCGAAACGCAAAACTTTGCTCATTCGCAAGCACTTGGTCTAAACCAAGAAAGGCACATCTAATTCAATATTGCGCGGGCAGGGTAAAAGTAAACATGTCATATTGCAATTGGCACATTCGAAATGGAACGCAAAATCACACAAGAATCAATCTTAGAAGAGAAATGTTGGCATTATTGCAAAAGCGAATTATCAAAACCGTCTCCTTAAAAAAAGCACCAGTTTCCTAGATTTCATTTCACATTATTGTTGATTCTTTTTTCCGGAAAAGATAAGAGTTATCTTGATGTAAATTAATTTGCTTACCTTAACTCCCCATCAACACTTAAGTCCAGAGAGAAATCTAAGCTTCCTTCTAACTCTAGACCAGCAGTAGCATCCTTTATTCCAGGTTTGAACCACTTTTTTTCTATCTCAAGGAACATAGTCACTTGGAAGAACATTTCCAAAGAGACTTGTACCTTAGCGTTTTCCGTTAACAACAACTGGAGAAAATAAAAATTTTACAAGACATCATTTTGTGGGGAAACTGAGAAGATTTAGATAGGTCACAGACAGCACCTTCTACATAATCATCATTCTCGGTTTGGTTAGAAGACTTTTGCTGAGCTATTGCAAACATGATGTACCTTGTGATGTATTCCGTCGGGTTCAAATCTGGCCAATTCAAAATCGTATCTCGTTGAGCGCCTACTACGTCTGTTGTGGCTTTTCAGTGCATTTATATCTACAGCTGTAGTAATTGTACCGTTTCCGTCCCGTTTGGCTGAAATTACTTCCACCAGAAGAAAATTTCCGCTGGAGTAGACGTCTATAACCTGAGGTTTGAGATAATGTAAAAAAATGACGACAATAAAACACAAGACACAGGTCAACAAAGATAACTTAATCTAGCTCTAATTCAAGCCAATATAAATGCACCCAATAAATCTCGAATCATGACTTTTGTGATACATTTGCTCTTTTCTCAACTCAAGGAGGGAAGACTGTTTAAACTCGTAAAGAGAAAAATAATAAACCGACTACAAATAATATGCTAAAGTTTTATTGAGTTAGCTTATCACTCTTAATTTGCTGTAACTTTGCAGCTCCTGAATGACACTTAAAGAATGATGGAAGCAGTCTTTGCAACCAACCAGGCTAAGCTTTAGTAGGCCCAATTATGGTTCCGCCCTCTCCATAAGATACGAACATTACCTTTGCAATGAGGCCTCCACTAGGTCTTCCAATGATTGGATCATCGACAAAAAACTGCCGACCTCCATCCTCTGGTTTTGACAAAACAAGGCCTTCGTTGTTATCCCCTCCACTACAAGATACTGATCCAGAAAGCCTTTGCTTACTTTCCTGTAGTCTGGTTTGTGGGAGTAAGTAAATGGAATTATCTTAAACAAATACGCAAGGATTGCATGGTCGAGCTTGGCATCCAAGGTTTTAAATAAAAGAACAGGATACTTTAACTTCTTAGTCCTCAACACGATCGAAAGTTCATACACAATAATTGTAGATAGATTTTAGTTCTGTTGAAAGAAACGTTTGTGAAAGAAAGGTGTTTGGTTTTTGAACGCTGCGTTTCATTTAATTTGGTGGCTACAGTTCCATATTCGACCGAGTTCGGCTTTTTGATCATACTCCCTGGTAGCCAATTGGGTTGCCTTTGGTTGTTCATTCATAAATGTACGTACATTTGAAAAGCGTCCATAAACAGTTGAAATATATTTTGATTTAATAAACGTTGATGATTCTTTCCCTTTCAAATGCCTTATACCCCAATTGTGTTGATACAAAAATGCCATTGTCTAACTTCGACCCGCCTAACATTATAACAAGGTATCATCAATGATATAAATACCTCGTGCCTTGCCATTGAGAATTTGCTTCGCATCTCTGGAATTTCGTTTCCAAGTATTCGGTGTTGTGCGTTCTATGAACTGCAACAACAGTCTCAATGAAACCATCACTAGCATTGGACACAACTATGTCACCTGTCTTAGGGATGTTATTGTTTTTCTCTATTACCAGGAAGTACGAGTGGGCAATGATTTTTCCAGTGTCATACGTGTGACCAAGGCACTTGTATATTTCTAAAAAAAGAGTTAAGAAAACTGTTTGAGTATGACTTTTCGAACCAGAATTTTCTTACAAGTCCTGATGGCCTGAGTGTCTTTTAATCGTTTGTATGCTTGTTTGCTCACTTGTTTGTTTTCTTATGCACTTATGGGGTGCTAAGCAATGCATTAACAAGTAGATATAACTGAATGATCGTCAGTTACATCTTAAAAGAAATATTAAGCTGGTTGGTACAAAAATGTTTACTTACCATTTGAAAGCACGATAACCTGTCCCTTATCAAACGTAATGTTGCCTGAAATAACATCCCACAAGTCATCTTGATCAGGCTCATCCTCAAACGTCGAGTCGTCGTCTACTTGTACTGCAGTTACTTGGTCTCTAAAGTCCGCATACTTTATAACCTCTTCCAACCCTGCTGGGGCGCTTAACATCAATTGAAAGGGACCTTTCGGGACAATTTTAAATTTGAACATTGAACGCAGCTAGGTATGTTTTTCGGCATTAATTGTATTAAACACAAGTCGCAGTCCAGTAAGATCTAAAAAATGGCTTATCTTACCTTTGTTATTTACATGGAATACAGTTTTTGAAAGAAATTGATAGTAATTTCACTCACCATCGCTGATTTCTTTGACAATCTTATGCATGATGCCTCCTGCTTGAGGACTACACAGTATATCACCCTTTTGAACTTTCAGGGCTTTTGGGGCAACTAAAACAAGCGACACTCTGTCTTGTTTTGGCAAAATTACTGGACATGCGTAAACGAGAGTTTCGTTAGGCTCCACAAACTTCACATTTTTAGCAAATTCCACGTTATTTCTTCTAAGGGGATCCGTATAATTAACTTCAATTTTCCCGCCTGGACACTGAGTCTCATTCCACGATCTGCACTGGTTTTCTTCCTGTTTTGAGGATAATAGGTAGTAGATTAGTACTGCTTTGGACCTAAAGCCAATATAGATACACTTTGCAATCAACTGCCTAGCTATTTCGACGGCGCCGTAAAGTTGGCAAATAGCATGAGGTCAAGTGACTCGTGGAATTGCCATAGAGATTTCTAGATATAATAGAGATACTTCACTTTTGCTTCAAACCAAGAGCTTCGTGCTCAATTCCCGCACTTGCTGGTAATAATACCGCCACTGAGATTAATTGGCCTTATCAACAAAGAGTTAGCTACGACTTGCTAATATTTGCAATTTGCACCTAGATATCTGTAAGAGTACTTTCTTCTCAGATTTTGCTGATGACGACTACCTTAAACTGTCACTAATTTAATGAGCATCAATGAGAAACAGAAAATAAAGATTGAAATCTTACTGTGAGTTTGTGACATCTTTCGAGATCACCGCATTTTTGACAGGATTCAATCGTTCCTCTTCCATCTTTGAAGTTGCAATGCCTACCTTTACAATTCACCCTCTGTTTGGTAAAATAGACGCGGAAAAACTTGTTGTTAAACGACAAACATGGAACTCAGAGTACCGTAGTATTTTGAACTACTCTGCCAATCGTCGTGTCCTGAGACTATGGTGCATTGGCAACGCTTTTTTTTGTTTTCTCGGTCGACTTAATTTCCCGGTATCTTTCTGCGCGTAGTAGTACAAATGGATGTAGGGAAACTAGCAGGGAAACTAGCAGGGAAACCTAGCAAAATATGAAGGGTTATGAACTTATTCCTGTAGCCAATCCGGGTAAAACTATTGCTTGGCTGCTTTGTATTTGGATGGTGCTCTGATAGTTAGGGGTCACTATATTTGAGATAGTAATGATTAAAAATATGAGAAAGCACAACATAAAACAAAAAGCAAAACAAGCAAAAGATAACACGCAGAAAAGGAGGGAACCAACTGATGCGCAACACTTGCTAAAACGCTTTCCGCCCCCCTCTCTATCTCTGGTGCTGATTGGACTAAGTGCACCTTTATGTTGATATGTTCTCAACATGAATCATTTTTCTCTTCTTCACCTACCATTATATCACGTGAACAACGTTCGTCTCCCACTGTATAACAGTGGTAGTAAAACCAAGCGGGACAACTTATTCCTGGAGGCCCTGCCGGAAAACCTCCGCGGCAGGAGCGTGAACTGTCACACCATCCACAAAATGGGTCTGTCACGCAATCAGCACAACTTTCGTACTTTCCACAGAAAGAGTAAGTGCAGCCGAGACCCTGCAGAAATATATATACAATTTCCTTTCTAATATATACATATGACTGCTGTTCTCAGAGACAAAAAGCGATAGGTCTCGAACACATCAGTGTTGTAAATTCATTAAAGCACAATGACTGGCGTCGTTTCAATTAGATTAAGGTGCTGAAGATATTTAAACTTTATTTTTTATTAACTGGTCAAGGCCGTAAACATCAGCAATATTAGATAAGATATTTGTACTTTTGTCAAACTTAGGTGCGGCCATATTACAATTCAGATCTCCTAAGACGTAATATTCGATATTTTCTGAGTCTAGTTTTCCAATAAGTTCTTCAAATGGTCTAAAAAGGTCAATTGAAGAATCAGGGGGTCTATACCAGGTCATAACGGCAAAAGGCCTTGATCTGGGCTTCTTGATTTCGACAGTCAGACTTTCTATTTGTTCACATATTAGATCAGAGCGAACAGAATAATTGATTTCGGAACGAATAAAAAAACAAACACCCCCTCCAGACCTACCGTTAGTAGAGCGATCTCTACGAATAGATTCATAGCCAGAAATATGAATTTCATTATCGCCTATTGTGTCATCCAATTTAGTTTCATTTATGGCTAAGATATCGATAGGTCTGTCGGAAAGCAAAATTCTTAGTTCATCAATGTGTGCAGAAAGACTATTGATATTTAGCGAGGCCAATTTAAAGCCTCGTTTAGGCGGGAGAAATTGGTGAGAAACGATTGGATTTCCAAGGTCGCGATTACGCTCTGAATTGAACAGACGGCCAGTAGGTCAACTACATTCATGTAATTTATTCGCGAAGTTGTTATACATTTTGGCAATACCTGTCTCCCCAAGATGAAGTCCTCCTCTATTTAAGTCCGTTGAGTGAATGTCATCGTGGAGTATGAAGTGCCACTGTCGCTGATTGCAGAATTTTCGAAGCCTTTTGTTGACTGCATCAACATCGCCGCTATCTGAGAGGTCCGATCTTGTGACCAGCTCTGATATTATTACTTGTGCGTCCGTGGAGCTTTCAATTTCCCTCGCTAGGTCAACGATGTTATCGGCGATTTCGCTTGGGGATAGTTTTCCAAGGTCGTTAGTACCAGCATGTAAAATGATCTGGTCCGGCTTCTTGTCCAGTGTTGGTTTCACATAATGTGACATATCACTTGTTGTAGCTCCCGCGAAGGACTTTACAACAACCCGGTGGCCGACTTCTTTCCCTAATTGCCACCCTTGTATGTTTCTGATAATTGAATCGCCAATAATGACGGTGGTCGGCGAGGATCTTTCTTGGTTGTGGTTAAGAGTATTAGAGCTGTTGTGAGAACTCTTGTTTGGCGGCTTTTTCTTGCTCGATTTGCTTTGGTGATTCTTCGTTGTTTTGGAAGATTGAGATTTAGATGATCCATTGTTTTGCTTTGTGTCCGCCTTTGTATCCGACCATTTTGTATCCGACACCTTAGGATCAACCGAAGGCGACTCTAATTTT